TTTTAATGTTGTTGAGTCCAATTTGTTTAAGGAGTTTATAAAACTCCTAAATCCAGATTACCAAATTCCATCAAGAAAAAAGCTTTCAAATCAATTGCTAGATAAAGTTTACAGTGAAATAACATCTGCAGCTATGAAAGAACATGAAACACTAGGTGTACTGTTAATCGATGGTTGGAAGAATTCTGCTGCTAATAGCAAACTAGTTGTCTGTACAATACACACAATAATGGACAAGAGTATGTATCTGAATTCATGGGACTTAACTGGCATAAGAGAAACAGGAGATGCACTAACAAAAATTGTACATGAAGCAACGGAAATTGCTAAGAGCAAATTCAACATTCGTGTTTATGCCGTCGTATCAGACAATGCTTCTGCAATGATATTGATGGGTAATTCAGTTAATTTATGGCACGTAACTTGTGCAAGTCATAGTGGTAATTTATTAGCAAAATCCTTGGTCAATGTAAAATTCGCTGAATCTGTCAATCATTTATTGAGAGAATTCAAGCAGCCAGGTCTAGAAAAAGAAATTATAAAAGGTGGAGAAAAAAAAATTGTTCTTACGTGCGAAACTCGATGGTGCAGTTACAGAAATGCATTTCGTTGTTGTCTAAATAATTTATCGATAATGCGTCGAATAATAAAAGATCAGAAGATTAGCATTAAGTGTTCGGAAATGTTATTTAGCAAAGATTTTGAAACAACACTTCAAGATTACATATTGATATTTGATCCTGTGTGCGAACTTATTAATAAATGCCAGCGATCCAATTGCAACATTGCAGATTCTTGCGAAGAGTGGTTTAAATTAACTATACCAACAGTTAATGACAATTATGAGAAAATAATAGAAGGGAGACTAAAAAAAGTCTTCAGACCATCAATTTTAACTGCCAACTTCCTACATCCTATTTATAAAGGTAAACAATTTATGCATATAGAGAAGTATCAATGCGAAGTCTATAACTTTCTTAAACAAGAATTGAACGTAGAAAACTTAGATAATTATTCTGGCTTACAGGCTTTTCTTCATAGTACAGATATATTTAAGATCTTGAATACTAAAAATCTTATGTTTCCTCATACGTACTGGTTTATAGCTAGTAAAAAATACCCTGACCTTGCTGAATTAGCGGATAAATTAATGAAAATTCCAGCCTCTTCAGCTCAAATTGAGCGTTTATTTTCGCATTGGTCTTTTATTCATTCCGATATCCGAAATCGGTTAACCGCTGAGCGATCCCAAAAGTTAGTACAAATATATTATTCATTAAAAATGATGAATGAATGTAATGAATACGTTGATGATTTTAACTACTAATTAATATAAATTATTGAGATTTGATATACGGTTTTTATAACATTTGTTTTTCTCGTTTGTTATGTTGAATATAATCTGAGAAATGATAAAAGAAATGATTACAAAATTATAAAAGAATGTCTTAGAATTTTGAGTAAAATTATATATTCAGGAGTGTGTGTATTAAATACTATAAGTAAACACAAAAATTATTAACTACATTATTGTATAGTTTAATATTTTATTAATAAACATTATATTTTGTACATAAAAAATGTTCTTTTAATTATTTTATACATTTCTGTAATAACTTAAAAGCTTCCTTGAACAAAAAATAACTTAAATTTCTTCGAAAAAATAAAATATTAATAGAAAGAACACAAACAATAAGAATATAGTTCAGACTAGTTTTACAATCACGCTCTTTCTTAAACATATTAATTTCTTAAACATATTAGATATTGCAACATATATATTAAACAAATAAACTTTCTAAAACGTATTATATTAGATATTTGTAAAACATTTCTTACATATTAAGTCCCGTATCAGACTAAACATTGAAGATTGAAGACTGAAATTTGATCAATTAGGAGGAAACTTTTTTATTTGATTTATTAAATTTTAATCTTTAATATTCAATCTTCGATCGTCAATGTTTAGTCTGATATGGGTTTTAAATATTTTATCAGTACAAATATCAGTACAGTATTTATTAGTACAGTAACGATAAACTAGATACTTTAAAAAATTTTTTTAATATTTATCCGTTTTATTTTCATCTTGGAGTTTTAATCTATAATAAAGATCAATAATTTTATTGTTATATTCGGGAGAGCTATTGTCGTAACAATTGGCCTGAAATTTTACTTGGGTAACTGAAGCAGGTATTTGCATTAATTTTTTAGCAAAATTTGCCAGACCTGTATATTTTCTACTTGCAAAATCCCAATATTTTTCAGGGTCTTCAATTTTATGTGTTTAAATTTTTTCAAAAAGTTCTCTTTTTTTGAATATTCGTAAAAATCATATAATTCTTGATCATTAAGGACTGTCAATAAATATTCAAGTATTTCTATATTTCGTTTTGGATTATTTTCAAATGTAAGTCCTTTGTAAACTGGATGCAAACAGTTCGCTACTAATGATATCGGTGACAGAATGTCACATATCTCTTTATGAATCTCATTCATACTATTGTCTTCAGCAACAATTGATTCTATTTGCAACCATTGTTCAATGATGTCACACATAGTTGAACATGGACTTTGACATTTGAAAATAAGCGAACAAAAATGTTTACACAACAAAATATATTTTTTTAATTCTTCTTTAAAAGAAATGACGGAAGAAGGCGATGCAATATCAAATAAAATCATAGCAACATTGTTTGGGATACAAAATACATGTTCATTAAAAATTTGTTTAAAGACAAAAATATTCTTAGAGCAATTAATAAACATATCTTTAAGTGAAAAAATGGACGCCTCATCATCTATTACTTCAAATTCAATTCCACCACGATTTGTAATCTCTTCCTTTAATCGAGGAGTTTGAAAACCATTTAATACGCTTCGAACTTTCGAGATAAATGGAATACTTTTGAATAAGTTTTCTATTTTCATAGAAACTGTTGTTTGGCATTTAAAAAACCAAGGATTATTAAATTCGTGATTTGACATATATAAATCATCGCCTGCGACAACTGCATAAACATCTACTTTATATTTTTCCTTGGATATTTGTATTGCATCGTGAACAATTTCTGTCACATCATTTGATTCTGTCGGAATTGACCACATTTTAATAAACAAATTTCCTGTAACTTTTCTATGTATAATTCCAACGATGTGTTTTGAATCAACACTTTGGCTCATTATGCTAGACCAAATCATCAATATTCCTTCTAATTGTTCACATGTTGAGAAATTTGTTATTATTAGGTGGTAAACTTAGTTCCTGCGGCTCACAGTTAGATGACGTTAGTTGTAGGTGTAATTTATTTTTACATCTGAAACTAGCTGCATTTTAGAGGTTAGATTGTCAATAAATTTGTCAATAAAATTCAGTGCGAAGAGATTCATTTAAGCGAGCAGTGCTATTTTTTCTTTTGATTAAATATGGAACGTGATAAGTTGTTTTTTCGACATGTGCTGCTTCATTACTTTGACTTGAAAAAAACTGCAGCTGCAGCTCATAAATTGCTTTTCGAAGCTTATGGCAATTATGCTCCATCGGAAAGAACATGCCAAGTATGGTTTCAGCGATTTAAGAGTGGTGATTTTGATGTCAATGATAAAGAACGCTCAGGCCAACCGAAAAAGTTTGAA